GAGAGAGAGAGAGAGAGAGAGAGAGAGAGAGAGAGAAAGAAAGAAAGAAAGAAAGAAAGAAAGAAAGAAAGAAAGAAAGAAAGAAAGAAAGAAAGAAGAAAGAGAAGGCTGAGATGGAGGAAGGGGGAGGCAGATCCCAAGGTTCAGTTTGGGAAGGGCTAAGGCCTTAGAATGCTAGGATTGGAACAGTGGAAGCCAACCTGGAATGTCGATCAGGCACACAGGGCCTTGAATCATGAGCCAAATCCTGGCAGTTGTTCCTGCGTATCCTGTGTATCCTATGGATTCAGGATTAGGAGCCTGTTGAGAGTGTAGGACAGGACCAGCTGAGCATTTTGGGCTTACCTTCAGGACTAGTATTAAAATTATGTTTGTACATCTTTCCACGGGACATTAAAAAGGAGTGGGTTTATTTCATTTAGCATAATATTCTCAAGGTCCAGCCATGTTGTTGCAAATGGCAGTATACAGTAGTGTGGTGACTGCCAGAGGGAAGGGGGAGGGGGTCCTAATATATGGTGACGGGAGAAGATTTGACTTTGGGTGGTGGGCACACAGTGCAATATACAGATCTTGTAACGTGTAAACCAAACCCACACCTGAAACCTATATGATCATATTAACCAATGTTACCCCAATAAATTTAATAAAAAAAGATTTTAAAAAGAAAATTAAAAAGTTAAAGGGAGTGGATTTACTTTGCAAAGCCATAAATCTCCTTAAAGGACAAATGGATGTGGATAGGAGTGGATTGCTAGCAAAGAGTTGTATGAGACAATTAATGGCCTGAGGTGGGTGGTAAACATGCCTAGTGCTAGGTTGGGTGTCCTGTGACCTCTCTGAAGCTGGGTCTCTGAGATTTCACCACTTCTGCATCCCCCCTCCACCCCGCATACTTGCCAACTTTGATTCATGACATCTTTTCCCAGCCTCAGTTCCCAGAAAGCCACTCTCCAACCCTCCAGGAGATGTGTTCTACCTCCTGGTTGGAGCTGGTTCTGTTAGCACCTGGCCTCCAAGGATTCAGCCATCTCGGAATGGACTAGCCAACACCCAGACCTCCCACATGGCCCTGGTGAGGATGGGAGATGGGGGCCCTCAGGACTCACGTTTTTTGGCGCACATGTTCTGACACAGGTCTTTGGTTTGGAAGTTGTTATTGTTTCCTTGGCAGCCACCATAGATGAAGATGGAACAGGTACCATTTTCCTTATCATACCACCAACGACGAAAAAAAGCCATGCAGGGACCAGGATTTTTCGGCAAACTGCATATGTCTGCAGGGAGACCCCAAGTTAAGAACTTAGAATGCCCACCCTGAAAAAATACAACTGTTATTGTCCCTCTGGCAACCCCCATAGATGACACTGAGCAGGTTCCTTTCACCTTATCACACCTCGGGGGCCCAGCTCCACTCATATATTGTGCACGTTTGCAGGGAGACCTCAAAGTGGAGCTGTTTGGGTGTCTGCCCCCCTGGAGAACATCAATATCTCCCTTCCCTTCTGGTCACAGGCTTCACTGTCTCCCCTGAGAGTGAGGAAACTGGTTTCAAGATTTGTTTCCTAATTCAGTGTCTGCCCATATTACCTTCTTGTCCCTGACTTCCATTTTTGTAAAGTAGAAATGCAAAACCCCACCCTGCTTGTTGCACAGGGCTGTCCTGAGGGGCAGTGAGACCACCCTCTAGGCCCTCTAAGTTGTGAGCTCCTTGATTGTATCTGAATGTGCAGCCTCTAGCACAGTGCCTGGCAGAGAGTAGCTGCCCAATAAATAGGCCCTGAATAAATAAAAGACACGGAAGTGTCTTGAAAATTAGAAATTATAAGCCACTTACTCTGCCTTCTAAACTATGCCAAGAGGAGAACGTGGGATCATGACTAAAGTGCAGCTCCATGCAGATAAGGCAAGAGTAGTTTTTCAGATGGTCAAGCACCTCTTCTCCCTGCAGTTAGTTTCAGTTCCATTAAGGGTTCAATTTCATTCCCACTCCCCATTCATATGTTAAAGTCCTAAACCTCAGTATCTTGGAATGTGATCCTATTTGGAAATAGAGTTGTGGCCGATGTTATTAGTTAAGATGAGTATTACTGGATTAGGGTGAATCTCTAATCCAATATGACCAACGTCCTTATAAAAAGGAGAAATTTGTTCACAGACACACAAGGAGGACACCACATGAAGACGGAGGTCTACGAGCCAAGGAATGCCAAAGGTTTTCAGCAAACCACCAGATATTAGGGGAAAGGCAGGGAACACATTGTCCCACACAACCTGAGAAAGAACCAACCCTGCCAACACTTGACCTTGAAATTCTCTCCTACAGAACTGTAAGACAATACTTTGCTGTTGTTTAAGCCACTCAGTTTGTGGTACTTCCTTACAATAGTCCTAGCAAACTAAAACAGATCCAAAGTAAACTGTGAGTTCAGTTGAACAGTAAAGTCCTGTTGATTTTCACTTCCTCACAGCTCACCTCTCTAACACTCTTTTTTTCTTAAAAATTTATTTTTTATTTTTCAATTATAGTTGACATTCAATATTATATTAGTTTCAGGTGTAGAGCGTAGTGGTTAGACACTTATATAATTTACACAGCAATCCCCCCAGGTAACTCTAGTATCTACCTGACACCATACATAGTTATTACAATATTAAAAAAATTTTTTTCAGTTACAGTTTATATTCAGTATTATTTTGACTTAGTTTCAGGTGTACAATTTAGTAGTTAGACAATCATATACTTTACAAAATGTTTCCCCTGATATTTCTAGTACCCAGCTGGCATCGTACATAGTTATTACAATATTTTTTACTGTATTCCCTATGCTGTACTTTACATCCCCAGGACTATTTTGTAACTGCCGATTTGTACTTCTTAATCTCTTTCCTCTTTTTCACTCAGTCCCCAACCCTCCTCCCATCTGGCATCCATCAATTTGTTCTCTGTATCTATGAGTCTCTTTCTGTTTTGTATGTTTGTTTATTTTGTTTTTTAGATTCCAAATATAAGTGAAATCATATGTATTTGTCTTTCTCCGTCTGACTTATTTCAGTTAGCATAATACCCTCTATGATGATTCATGTCACAGATGGGAAGGTTTCATTCTTTTTTATGGCTGAGTAATATTCCATTGCATATATGCACCACATCTGCCACTCTCTTTAAGTCTCCGTGTCTCATGCCTGGGCTGTTGAGATGGCCTCAAATTGACCTTCCTGCCTCCATCCCTGGCCCCTCCAACCCATCATTCATGCTGCCTACCAGAGAGAAGGACCTGATGGATCTGAAGCAAAGCTGATCCCATCACTCCACACTAAGACCTTGACTTCGTGACAAAGTCTCCTCATGACCCACAGGCCCTTCATGATCTGGTTCCTGCTTGTGGCTCTGGCCCCTCCCCTGCCACAGTGCCCTTCTGAGCTACATGCTCCTGCAGCCTTCAGTACACTGCGCTGTCCCACACCTTCACACCTCTCACTCCATAATCCCTCTGTCCGCCCACTGTTGTTCATTAGTGACACTCCTATTCTCCCTTCAAAACCTTTCTCAGACATCAACTCCTGCATGGTGTCTCTGACTCCATTCTGCATTCTACACCCCCACGGGTGCTGAATTGACCCTGAATTTTTCTATGGTGTTTCTGAGTCTCGTGTGCATATTTTCATTTGTTTACGTCTTCAGTCTCATCTGTGAGGTTGTGAGTTTCTAATGAGCAGGGTTGTGTCTGATTTCATCTTGGAACCCCATTCCTAGCAGGAGGTCTGGCACAGTATAGAATTTGGTAAAATGTTGAGGGTAAAACAGTGAATGAATAAAGAATCTTTGATCTGGACTAAGTCATTCATTGAGCACCTACCCTGTGCTAGATGCTTTAAGTGACAAAGAAAAGGCATGGCCTCTGCTATTAACAAGCTCCCAGTCACAAGTGACAAATAATTTAAGCCAATATGTGTCACGTGACTCTTATCTACAAGACATTGCTCCTAGCACTTCATGTACATCAACTTATCCTCCAGATAACTTCTAACATTGGTCCTTTTGTTATCTGAGGAAACTGAGGCACAGTGAGGGAAAGTTGTTAATTTGCCCAAAATAAATTGGCTGGCAAAAACTAGAGCTAAGATTTGAACTTGGGAAGTCTGAATTCAGAATTCCTCACCTGCAGGCAAATGAACAACTTACCATTCTCCCGCCTTCCCACTCTGCTCCACTGTCAAATCCTGTTCGACAATGGAGCAGAGTAGGTACCTCCTAAATACATTCCAAACACATCCCACTCTTCTCTATCCCCTCAGCTGCCTCTCTAGTATAAGCTACCGTTTTCTTTCATCCTGAAGTCCTTTAAGGCATTCCATTCCTCCTCTGCAGGCATAGTAAAAACCTGTTCAGGTCACCCCCCACCTCAATGAATTTCCATTGTTCTTAAGATCAAAATGAGAGTCTGACCCATCAGAACCTACCTACCTACTATCTTTTTTCCCTTGTACCACACTCATGCTCCCCAGACTCCACTACTAAGGGCATGCTGTTCCCTGTGCCTGGAAAGCCCATCCACCCACTTTTGGCCTAAATTTACTACCCATCTTTCTTAATTCAACTCCAGGTTTGCTTTTTCAGGGAAGCTTCCTTCAACCTCCCTGACCACATTAGACAAATCCTATTGAGTCTCAGAGACTCAATATTTGTTCAGTGAATGAGTACAGAATCTTTGATAGTCTCTCGGGAACCCAGGAAGATGGGCATGGAGTAAAGACTGTAGCAGCAAAGAAACTCTCCAGTCTGGAGTGGTCAGGGGAGGTTTCCTGGTGCTCAGTCAGACTTGTTGGATTAGGAGAGAGGCAGGCACACTAGAGCAAGAAGCTAGGTGATACCAGTAGCTTCATTATCACTTGCAGCAGCAACATTGGTATATGGTAAGCCAACAATGGCCACCTGGGACTCAAAATAGTAGGAGTGGAAAGTAGCCAAGAGGCTATCTGACTCAGTCACACCCTTGCGCCTTTGTTGGGAGTGAACCGAAGCCCAGACAAAATGAAGATATTACCTAATGTCAAACACCACATTGGGGGCAGGGATGAACGTAGATCTCAGGTCTCCCAAGCCCAGCAATATTGCTCAGACACCAACCCTTAGCAAACCAAGGACAAAGCCAGCCCAGGTGGGCAGAAGGTGAGGGCTTGGGTAGAAGGACTGGTTATACCGAGGCTCTGAGTAATACCTTGTCGGAGGTCTAAACATTTTTTTCCACAGTTGAAGACACAGCACTTCATCTTGTCCGGGCATTTTTTGTTCTTCGTACACACATCCCTTTCTCTGTATTCACATTTCTCTTGGATTCTGGGGCATCTCCCTGGGGAAAAGACAATCTCACAACCATGAGTCTTGGAGAGCACAGTGCCCACTCTTCTCCAGACTCAAGGCAGCTCTGGAGAGTCAGAGAAGTTTGCTCTTACTTTGCTCATCCCAGGAGCCCTTTCCCTCAGGGTGCTCTTATGTGTTTCCCAGCACTGCCTGCACTACCCTCCCTCCTGACCCTCACTCTCAACCTCCTTCTCCTATCCTAGTCCTGCCCCCAACCCCAGCCCTTCTAAGGCAGGATTTCTCAGCCTTGACAGTAGGACATTCTGGAGGGATAATTATTTGATGGGAGGGGAGAGCTGTCCTGTGTGTCGTAGAATATTTAGCAGCATCCCTGGCCTCTACCCACTAGGTGCCAGTAGCACACCCCAGTTATAACCAAAAATGTCTCCAGGCCTTTCTAATATCCCTTGGAAGGCAAAATTGCCCTATGAAAAGCCACTGGTCTAACTGAATCTGGTCATTTGGGCCTGGTAGGGGAGTCAGTGTTTGGGAGTTCCTTCTTGGTGGGGCTATTGTACAGTGATTAATATCACTCACCCTGGCCTCAGACAGTTAGGTTTTTAAATTCTTAACTCTTGGTTTACTACTTACCCTCTCTGAACCTTGGTTTCTTCATTTGTAAAATTGTTTTAACCTTACAGAGTTGTGATGAAGAAATGAGACAACATGTATAAAGCTATAATCATAGTAACTGATGCAGTTATATTAACCAACATTTGTTAAGTATTTACCATAGGCCAAGCACTCTTCTAAGCATTTTAAATGTGTTCTCTCATGTAATTGCCATAATAGCTCTATAAGGTAAGTTCTGTTAGTATCCCCATTTTGCAGATAAGGAAACTGAAGCACATGGAATTTAAGAAACTTGCCCAAGGTTACATGGCTACTAAGTGGTGGAACCAGAACTTGGACCCACCAAATCTGACTCCAGATCCCTCTCTTTAAATCCCTACTTTCTGAGTGTTCCATAAATGTAGCAATTATCATTTTTACTATATAGTCATGGAGTATTACTGTCTTAAGTTCAAAGGAACTTCTGGATACTGTCCTTTATCCCTAAGTCAAGGAACCTTTGGGAGGGCAGGGATACTTTATAGGACTCTATCTGAACAAATCAGGAATTGATAGGGATGAGGTCCTGAGAAAGGAAGCAATTTTTGTTGTGGGTTAAGGGGAAGGTCCCTTAGGCTCCCTGGATTCCTATAGACCCTCCCACAAATGCTTTATCCTATGACTCTTCCCAGCCCTTGCCTCTTTCTCCCAAGAAAGACCCTCTACTTCAAAGCAGCTGAAAGTAGGGGTTATCTTAGGTCTGGATTCTTGCATTCATGGAAGGATCTTCCACAGAGAGGGAAATAGGAAGAAATATTCCAAATATCTCTCTCCTCTCCCAACCCAGGACCAAGGCTAAGATAGTAAAAAGCAACTCAAGACTGGGGAACAATTGTTTCTTCCTTCCAGCAACCTTCCCTCTCTCCTGGGCAGGGGCTGAGACCCCAGTACTTACGAGGAGAGAGAAAGTGACCCAGACTAAATTCTTGGGCAGTCACTAGAAGGATGGATATCATCAGTGTCTTTAAAAGTCCAGAAGACATCATTTTGAAGAAGAGCTGGCCTGTCCGTCCGATGGTTCCAGAACATAAAAATGTCTGACTGCCTTTGTTCAGCCTATTTTTCAGCAGTCAGTATCTTGGATATGAGATCTGGAGTCAAGCCAGCCACCCTCTTCCTGAGAACGCCAAGTTCCTGAGATTATCAACATGACTAGCTGGCACCTATAATCCACAGCCCTGGGGAAAGGTCCCTTATTGGATGGCTCCCGGTTCTTAGCCCCTTGGACTGGCTGGGCTGGGTCCTCTGGTCAACGGGGGTAGGGGGACAAAGCTTGTCTCACTCTCCAAGCTATCTTAGGAGTGAATGGGATCTTCTCTATAACTTTGAGAGCTGTGGCATGTCCTCATTCTCTATTTATTTTCCATTTTATCTACACACTGACTGGGGCACATCCCTTTTGTCTCTGACAATGTGTCTGTTTATCTCTTGGCATCTCTGCTTCTCCGAGCGTCTGTGTGTCTACGTCTGACTTTTTCTTCTTCGGTGCATCTCCCGTGATCTCTGTGTCTCTTTCTCCCTTTCCCATGCTCCTCTCCCACACCTCTCCCTTTTCTCCTTGGGTCACTCATATTCTTTGACTAAGGCCAAAGAGTAAAGATGTTGCCCCCTAGCAGGGTGTGGGGAAGGAAACAGGCTGATAGTAGAGTTGCAGATAGAGTTTGTCAAGGTCATGTGGTTTTGAGAGCAGAAGAGAATGTCAGAGCTTATAGAGAGCTTCTGTCATCTGGTGCAAACCCCCTGTTGCCTGAGGAGGAACTTTCAATGAAGAAACCTGCCTGAGAGACTACAATACAATAAAGGTCAATAAGGCAGCACAGTTGCTGGATTCTAACTGGAACAGTGGAGGTCCCACTGGAGAGTGCTGGACTACTTGGCAGCTTTTCTGCAGCCATGGAATCCAAACCATGAGTCAGTCAACCAGTCTTCATAGAGGGAGACACTCTTCAAAGAGTCAATGTGAGCTCTAAGGTTCCCATTCCCTTTTCTAACTAGGTCTTGCACTTTTGGGCCAAGCTCTGTTCTCCCATAGTCCTACCTGATGGACACAAGCCAGACAAAGCCAGCCTTACCATCAGTGAGTGACTATATGGTCACAAAATTTAAGATCACAGACGGAGCCCCTCAGCCTATGGATAGTGATGTCCTTGGCTAGAAATGCCTGAGACACTCAGGTGCCTGTATTCACTCATGTAGTGAGCCCACAGACATCCCCCTACCACCACCAGGACCAATGTGGTGCTTGGACCAGCCCTTGTGGTTCTTCTTATGATTGCAGGACTCACCTCCACAAAACCATCAGGGAACTTTAAAGCACAAGATTTATTACTCAAGGTCCCAAAGGGTACATGGGAGGTTGGAGAGCCACACAGCAAGGTTGAAGGCAGAGAGAGGGGCAGAAAGTGTAGACTTGGGGTCCTGCCATTATTAAGGTCCAAGAATGAGGTGTCCAGGGTTTCACAGTTCACTCTATTCGAGAATTTAAAGCATAAAAGTGGGAATTAGGACATGGGAAGAGAGAAGTAGGATTACTCAAGTTATCTAGGTTACTCAGGGCTTTCTAAAAGGCAGCCTGATTCTTTACCTAGTTATTTTTGCTGATGGCTATGTCTTACAGCTGGCAATATGTTTATTAGAGGTGGATGTCTTTGAAATGAATGCCTTGGCAATCAAAAGCTTAATGTCAGGTACATTACAAACAGCTTGATGTCAGACATTTACACTACACAATCCCATCCCACCAACTTCACAATCTCACTAGATCCCACTGAGAGACTAAGGAATAGAATTTCTAATGAACAACCAAGATGTCTTAAGCAGCACTGTCCCTCTTTTTCTCCCAAACTCAGCCCAGGAGGGAAGAAAAAGCTGAAATACCTAGGTGAAGGACTCTGAGGGTCCAACAGTTCCCATCTCTTCATCGTCCAGGTAGGGATCATCAAATCCCAGAAAAGTGAAAGGTGCTGACTCAATGTCAGACGTAACGGTAGGAAGGAGCTGGGTGCCTTTTTGCCACAAGTCACTAGGGACTTTTCTGATATTGGTGTGAATATAATATTTTACTATGGAGTTCAAGGTAGAGAGGAATAGTGAGTCTAAAGAGAATGAAGGTCAGTGAGGATAGGGGCCAAAGACCCACAAAGTCTCTAAATGTCCAAATGGTTCCCAGGGTCCCCAAGTAAGGTGAAATTTTCTCTAAATTTCCTTGAAAGTAAATGAAAACTCAGAATTTCTTTTGTTTAGCAGAAAAAAATCTTTATTTCTATCAAATTAAAAAGTATGAGTAATCCTCAAGCAAGATAATCAAAATAATCAATAACACCAGGAACAGTTAGAAGAGCATTAACAGGTTAGGTTTAGATGCTTTGAATTAAGCACAAACACCCAAATCAAGAGCCCAGTGGCTTTCACACTGACTCACCGTAAACACGTGACTTCTGGGAAAGTGGAGCTGACTTTTCACAGGACAGTAAACCAAAGAGACAAGTTGTCATTGGGTTAGAGAACTGATTTGAGCTTGAGAGGGGTCACAGTGAAATGCCATTGGAACTCAGCAATTTCCCCCAGAGATCTGTTCACCTCAAAAACAAAACTATATGAAAATCAGTAGTACACATTCTCATAAAACTAGAAAAGCCCTCTAAGCCCTGATACCTTGGAACTTACATGAAGACTGAGTTTTTGTTTTCCTTCCCTTTACTCTAAGTTAAATACAAACCAGTTTGTTTTTATTTAGTACATTTCTGTCTGTATAGCCAAAGCTTTAAAACGAAGAAAAGAAAGCTTTAATGAAATGGAATTAGACTCACACTAAGGGCGGTGAGAATCTCCCAGGTGCACTGCTCCTTTGAAAAGTTTTGCACAGGGAATCTTTTATTTCAAGAATGATACAGTGTCTCCTGGAATAGCCGAACTATCACTAAGGAAGAAAGCAATATCTATGCCATGCAAGAGCTTTCTCCCTTTTGAAAATGTTGTGTCATCTCTGTCTCTTTCTCGCCTCCTTTCTCACAGGCACACAAATTAAATTGGGGAATTCCAGGAAGCATACAGATAAGAACATTTGTTTTGGCCAGAATTGTGCAATTTGTTAAAGGAAAGATGAGGTATGGCATTTACAAACATTTGTCATTATAATACGTCTCAACAGATGCAGGAAGCAGAGTTTTCTCTGTCGCTGAAACATGGCTTTATTGTTTCCCGACACCTGGGTCTTGCACCCTCCTCTGGAGACCAGCCTGGCTCAGTTCCACGTGGAAAGGGAGGGGAGCTCTGGGCCAGGCCACGTTCCTGTATTAATAGAAGCCTCTGTTACTGGGTCCTTCTTTTGAACAGCCAAATAGACAAGGAAGTTACTAAAAATGGAGAGAAAGCAATTCATACTGTGAAAATGATGGATGAATTGTCTCCCTGGCAAAATTAACTGCAGCAAGAAAAGATGTTGGCCCTTAAGCGAAAGGTAACAAGTGAAATTGATCAAATGGGTGCGGATGCCTCCCGAGGTGCGGAAGGCCGCGGAGTACAGAGGAGGCGTGCACCCCCTGTATGCGGGGGGCGCTGCCGCCCACACCCCCATTTCCTGTCTCAGCCACCCCCCAGAGCAAAGATCCCGGGTGGGAGCAAATGCGTTGTTTCACCTATTATTTAGAATGGAGATCTCAAACTAAAGAAAGGTGCCAAACAGTCCCTTTTGAATTTCTAATCCCTGCAGCTACATGAAAACACAAGGTCACGTAAACAGGATTATTTCTGTTTTTAAATACAAGGAGGCAAGATAACTGAAATAATATCTATTACCTAGGGTAATTGTTGAGGATTGAATTAGACAGCGTGTGTAATGAGCTTAGTATAAAGTACCAATAAACAGTAACTACTGAGAATGCCTATACCGCAACACATTTGGAAACCTGTGGTCTTTATGATTTGAACGAAGACTTCCAGCAGGCTAGTAAACTGTTTAGACAAACAACTGAAGTAAATATTGAACTCAGGTTCCAGTGAACTCAATCTTATAAAAGCTCTATTTTCGGGTTTGCACAGGCATCGTTCTATCTAACGTATTCCTGTCTCAATATTGTGAGTGGCAGGAAAAGCCACTGCAGCACCTCTCTTACCCATTGCTCTTCTACCCTTTCCCCTCCCTACCAAAGAGGGGGGTACACCCTGGGTGAATCCGGAGCTCAAGTGAGCTTGGCTGCTAAAGGGTGATGGGGAATGACCCTGGGGAAGGGGGTAAGTCAGGAAGCCAGTCTCCCCTGGTTCTATCAGGATTGTGCATGACAAGTGCCACCACATCAGATGGCAGGCGAAGGTGTGAATTTGCCATTCAGAAGCATGCTAATGTGTAATGTCATGTAGGGAGATGGTATAAAGTCAGGGATTACCCTGTGCTAGGAGCTCAATCACCTGCCAGAACTTTAGGAAGAATCAGTTTATTATCGGGGCCTTATATAGGGGTAGCAGTGAGGGAGTGACTTGTTCTGATCTTAGAAAAGAAAAGTGAGTATCTAGAGAGCTCCAAGGAGCCTGGGCCTATGTGTACGCACCATGGCTGAGGGTGGCTCAGGGTAATGGTCCCCTCAGGGGCACAACGCCATGGACACCAAAGGGTAGATGAGACACATGAGCTTGTCTCCGCCACAGGTTAGCCAGGACACAAGCCAGTCTACTTTGATAGCCTTTCATTTTATTTATAAATGAGTAGTTACAGAGGAGGACCAGAGGCTCAGATTTTCTAAGCAAAGGGAAAAATAAGAACAGTCTCATACAAAGTGGAAAGTCACCACAGGGAACTCTCAAAAACCAAGCAGGCTCAGGCCCTGGAGTTACTTGGAAAAGGGAAAAGGTAGTTCACATCCAGGAGCAAACTCAGGTTGCAGAGTCAGGAAAACCTGAGTGTGAATCCTGACTACATTGTTTATTGGCAGCAGGAGCCTGGGCAAGACACTTCACATCTCTGACTTTGCCTTCTTTCTTTATAAACGTGGGATCATGCCTATCCCACAGGGTGCTTGGAAGATGAAACGAGATGTGTATAAAGGTCCTAAAACTGCACATGTCACTCAGTAGGCCTCCAACAAATGGTACCTACTTTATGTTTGCCTTAGTGTTAAAGAGTATTAAAAACAGCAACATTTTCAAGTTCTAATAAGTGGGAAGCCTTGGCAGAGTAATGGAAAACAAAAGAATTCAGAGCTGGTTAGAATGACAGATTGTGAGGACAGGTGGGAATCTCAGGGACCATCCAAACTACTTTCTACATAACAGTGAAGGAACCACATGTGTGGCAATAGAAGGAAAACCAAGAAAAGTTGTCCCTTGAATTTCACTTTTGTCAAAATATTTTTTAAAAAAACTTAATTTTTTACAAAATCATTGAAGGAGTTTGTTAAAGAAAACCAGAAATTGATTTTTTTAGGCCACTGAACATGCAACAAGCATTGTCTTTCGAAGACCCCGGTAAAGGTGTTTATGTTCTTGGTCTCACCTAGCAAAGGCCCCTCAGTCACCAGGCAATCTCAAAAATGGCAAACACTGTTGAGACATATTAAGCAACCCTGACGCTGGCTATAACTGTCTATTTTGCTGGAAGAGAGAGAAGGATGGAGGAGTAGAGTATGGAATCAGGGGTCAGGCCATTTCCCATATCTTAAACCTTTCCCCAAAACTCCAAGGGCAATGGTTACACCGTAGTCACTCCCAGGAACAGTAAAGGACCCTCACCAGCGGGAATCACAATGCATGAAGAGGGATATTCATTTTTAAGGCAACAGGAATAAACTTCATTGTCCTTCCCAGAAGAGAACAAGGATTATACATGGTGGCCACCAAGTCTGGAAACCAAATTCTTAATAAATGATTTATTGATATTACATTACAATGAATGACAAAATAGTATTATCTACAGTTCCAGAATTTATGGCCACCCTATAGGATCCTTGGAATAGAAAAAAATTAAGATTTTGTTTTCTCATAATTGTAAAGCTGACATATTTAGTCCAGGCACAGCCAGTGTGACATGTTTCCTCAACTCCATGGACTCTATTCCCTTTATCAACTACTTATTATATGCTTGGATCACTCACAGGAGAAAACACTGTCAGCATCAACATTTAGCAACACTTTCAAAATAGTTTTAAAAATCTTGAATAAAAAGCTAAACTATTCTTTTAGGCTAGTAATTCCATATGGTCTTATTGCATCTATACATAAGATAGGATTTTTTCACATTATGTGGTGCATATTGCTTATTTTTTTAAGGATTTCCAAAAGACTGTGGATTTTATGTTTTCAAAAAAAAAAAAAAAAAAAAAAAGAACTGTGTACACCCATGAGAATCAGACCAGCAGTTTAAGCAGACCCTCTGCAGAACTCAGTTCTTGGTGCATGAAATGATTCAACGTTGTCCCCTAGTGCTCAGCTCTTAGAAAGGAATTTCAGAGGGACAAAAGCAGTGAGTACCTGTATTAATAGCCTAGGAAGAGAGGAAATAGGCGTAAAAAAAAATACAGTCTAATAAAAATGGCAGAAGTCGTCATTTCATGCCAGAATGTCTGAAAAGAAGAGATTCTATGGAGCATGGATGCAGAAAACTGATGGCATTTTTATACACCAATAATAAAATCCTAGAAAGAGAAACTAAAAAACAGTCCCATTTACCATTGTAACAAATAATTAAGATACTTAGGAAAAAACTTAACCAAGGAGGTAAAAGACCTGTATTCTGAAAACTACAGAATGTTGAAAAGAGATTGAATAAGATATAAACAAGTGGAAGACTATACCGTGTTCATGGATTGATAGAATTAATATCATTAAAATATCCATACTACCCAAAGCAATCTATAGGTTCAATGCAATCCCTATTAAAATACCAATGCCATATTTCACAGATCTAGAACAAATACTCCAATTTATGTGGAACCAAAAAAGACCCCAAATAGCCACAGCTACCTTAAGAAAGAAGAACAAAGTTGGAGGCATCATAGTACCAGATATCAAGCTATACTACAAAGCCCCTGTAATCAAAACAGCCTGGTACTGGCACAAGAACAGGCATATAGATCAATGGAACAGAAGAGAGAACCCAGAAATTGATCCAAGCTATTATGCTCAATTAATATTTGACAAAAAAGGCAAGAGCATACAATGGAGTAAAGATAGTCTTTTCAATAAATGGTGTTGGGATAACTGGACAGGTACAACAACAAAAATGAAACTAGACCACCAACTTACACCATACACAAGAATAAACTCAAAATGGATAAAAGACTTAAATGTAAGTTGTGAAGCCATAAAAATCCTAGAAGAAAAAGTAGGCAGCAAACTATCAGACATCTCATGTAGCAAAATTTTCACTGATACAATGCCTAGGGCAAGAGAAACAAAGGAAAAAGTAAATAAATGGGACTGCATCAAAAGAAAATGCTTCTGCACAGCAAAAAAAAATCATCAAAATGAAAAGGGAACCCACTGTATGAGAACATATTTGCCAGTGATATAACTGATAAAGGGTTAATTTCCAAAATATATATAAATATATCAACAATATATATAAATATATCAACAAAAGAAGACAACCCAATTGAAAAATGGGCAGAGGACTTGAAGAGACACTTCTTCAAAGAGGACATAAAAATGGCCAAGAGACATGAAAAAATGCTCAATGTCACTAATTATCAGAGATGCAAATTAAAACCACAATGAGGTACCACCTCACACCTACCAGAATGACTACCATCAATAAATCAACATACAAGAAGTGCTGGTGGGGATGTGGAGAAAAAGGACACGGCTGATGGGAATGCAGACTGGTACAACCACTGTGGAAATCAGTGTGGTGTTTTCTCAAAAAATTAAAAATGGAACTGCCGTCTGACTCAGTGATCTCACTTCTAGGAATATATCCTAAGAAGCCAAAAATACCAACCAGAAAGAATATATGCACCCTATGTTGATAGCAGCACAACTTAAAATAGCTAAGACCTAGAAACAGCCCAAGTGCCCATCAGTAGATGAATGAATTAAAAAAACTGTGGTATGTTTACACAATGGAATACTATGCAGCTGTGAAAAAGAAGGATCTCTTACCCTTAGAGACAGCATGAAGGGGCCTGGAGAGTACTATGCTAAGTGAAATAAGCCAATCAGAGAAAGACAAATATCACATGATCTCACTTATATGTGGAATCTAATAAACAAAATAGACTGACGAACAAAATAGATCCAGAGACATTGAAGCATGCAACAGACTGATGTATTTCAGAGGGAGGGGGGAGGGAAGAGATTAACCAATGACCTTATATACATATATGCATAGCCCATGGACAGACAATAGTGAGGGAAGGACTGGGGAAAAGGCAGACGAGGGGGGGGATCAGTGGGGGAAGTAAAAGGGGACACTTGTAATATGTTCAACAATAAAGATAATTTTTTTTAATAAAGGTGTCACTCCTAAGAGGGAAAAAATGAATTGTGGACACAGTCACTCAAAGTCAGAGAAGCAACCACTGAAAGTAATTGGCTTCAACCTCATTGTCACCAGGAGGACACACACCAGAGAATGTGGGGAAACCTCAGGCTACTACCCTTGGCATTCTCAGGCTTACTGGTGCTATGGTTCAACAGCCTTTAGGGGATGGGGAGGCCCAGAGACCACCACCATCATGGCTACTTGGCAACAACACGACTGTCAGATCAGCTAGAGCTTGGTTTATACACCATTTGAAATCCAGCCTGTACTTGTTTTCTTGTGAACGGTTTTACACATGTGCAGGGATATCTTCAACATGTGTAGGTGACCTTTCTTTTGAAAGGCAGTTAAGAGCCTCTTCATCAATTCTTTCTACTCATTACTTTTCATATCAGTTCACAATTTAAACTAGAAAAGACGCTGCAAGCTATCACAGCTAGCTTCTAACTGGGACACCACACCAAAACTACACATACAACTGAAAGAGTGACCACATCTTCCTGGTTCTTCCACTGGGTGGGTTCAGTATGCTTCTTTGGACTGAATAGGTGTGATCTTGTTCAAGAAAAGCATGTAAACACAGGGCCAGATTTTGTCAGTCTCTGTTGGCTCCTGTATAGTTCAATGACTGCCTTTGCCACATCCTTGTACTGTCTTAGCCTGGCAGAAACTGCTTCAGGCTCATCCTCCTCCTGCTGGACCAAGAGTTCACCAGTGATTTCATCAATCCTGTGTATCAGTTCCTGGAGCATTGAAGTTACTCAACATCGTCCCCTAGCGCTCAGCTCTTAGAAAGGAATTTCAGAGGGACAAAAGCAATAACCATCTGTATTTATGGCCTAGGAATGGAGAAAACAGATGTAAAAAAAATACATTCTAATAAAATAGCAGAAGCCAAATTCTTTCGTTCCAGAATGTCTGAAAAGAAGAGATTCTATGAAGCATGGATGCAGAGAAGATGTCACTCCTAAGAGAAAAAATGAATTGCAGACCCATGGAATGAATGGGTCAATTGATGGAGCTGTTTGAATGGAAGGTAGTTGAGTGGATTTGTAAGTCGATGGAGAGGGGTGGGTATAGAAATGAAGAAGTATTTGATGTTTTATTAGAGAGTATGTGGGTGTGAAAGATAAATAGGTAGATAATAGGTATACGGAAAAAACACTGGATTAAAAATGGGCAGCTGGATAGGTAGAAGGAAGGTGCATAAGGTGAAATCAGATTATACATCCTCCCACTAAAAGAGTGGATCCAACATCAGCTGAGACTATCTTTGAGTGTTTCAAATAGAATGTTCAAAGTGACCACTAGAACTAGGTCACAGATTCTGTCCAGGGCTTCAGCCTGAACTAATGTCCTAGGAAAGCCACCTAGTATCCAGTGCCGATCACACCTCTTCTCCAGCTGACATCATTAGGCATGTGATCACATGATCTGAACCAAAAGACCTTTCTCTCTGTACTGGTCTGTCATATCACTAATGTCCATGTTGGCCTCGTTGGCCTTAATGTTCTCCCTCAAAAATTGGCCGCTGAAGAGATGCTGGAGGACAAAGCTCTGGGTGATTCTCTGGCACGATACCCTTGCCAGAGCCGGGAGGCCCAAGGATGACCACACACAGGAGTCTGGAAGCCATTGCCTTTGTGAGCAATGGGGCTGTCAAACAGGCAACCCAGACAACAGCCTGGGAGAAGCCCCCAAACTTTGTTTCTTCTGCCCCTGCCTCTAACCCTCTGCTCACACAGGGACTCCAAAACTCAGAATTTCTTGTTGTTCTATCCCATTCTGTTCTACCTAATTTCCAGCCCTACCCAAAGATCTCACTTTCCAAGCAGATGAGATAAAATTTCTGTTTTTGGACCCTGGGATGAATGCCATTTTTGGCCCTTCCCTCAAAATTTCTTGGAGAGATTGGGTAAGGATCCACCTGAGCCTTTGTCCCTCTTTCCCTTATCACCTCTCACTGATGGACATAGTGCCTCGCCTCTACCTCAGACACGCTTCTGTTCTAGGGCCAATCCTGGGCTCAGAATGAGGGACTCCAAAGAGCACCAAGGCATATGTCTTTCTTTTTTTTTTTTTATATCTTTATTGATTTCAGAGAGAGGAAGGGAGTGGGAGAGAGAGAGATAGAAACATCAATGATGAGAGAGTCATTGATTGGCTGCAGCCCGCAACCCGGGCATGTGCCCTGACCGGGAATCGAACCCTGATTGCCTAGATCCTAGGTCGATGCTTAACTACTGAGCCACGCCCGGCCGGGCCCAAGGTATATGTCTTTTACCTGGAAATTTCTGCTTGTTCATTAGGCCAAGCACTGTCACATGCTCTGACTTCCTGTCACTGGCTTTCTGTGTTGCTCCCTGTGCATCTAACTGTATTACTGAGTTTCATGTTTGTTTCCACAGATAAATTTTGAGCTCCATTGGATATATTTATATCTAGAACCTAGTGCTTAGGACATGAATAGGCCCAGAATAAACACTAAGTACATTTGTTGGATGAGCAAGGTAGGTGGGGGATTGGTAGGTAGATATGAATGATTCATAGGGTAATGATTAGGAAGATGGTTGGGTGAGTAGGAAGAAGAATGGGTGAGGATAACATGGATATTTGGGTGCATGAGTGCATGGATAAGGGTGAGTGGATGGATGACTGGGTGAAGAAGAGGACTGGGTTGAATCTAAGGATGGTTAGGTTAATGATGAGATGAATGGATCTATTGATGGAAGCTGTTTGAATGGGAGGTAGATGAGTGGATTGATAGGTAGATGGAGGGGAGGTGGGTATAGAAATGATAGAGAAATATGTTGATGGCTATTAGAGAATATGTGCATGTGAAAGATAAATAGGTAGATAAAAGGTGCATGGAAGAAACACTGGATTTAAATGGACAGCTGGATAGATAGAAGGAATATGAGTGAAAAAGGTAAGTGGATAGATATATGAGTGAAAGGATGAGTGGGAAGATAGATGAGTTGAAAGGTATGTCAGTTAGAGGACTATATGAGCAGATGGATAGGCAAGTAAGTGGATTAAATGGTTGGTGCATAGGTGAAGGGGATGGAAACATGAATGATGAGTGAAAACATTAACCAAAATTAAAGATATGAAAAGAATTATATAGAGAATAATTTTTACTACTCTAAAATAATACATTTGAAAATATAAAGAAAATGCATTTATTTTAGCAAACATAAAAGATTGAAATTTACAGAAGGAGTGGTACAGAGCCTGTACAGACTACAAGATGAAGTACAAAAAAAATTAGTAAAAATATTACCATTATAGAAGAAATCTTACTTAGATGCTTTTGGAGTTTTATCTATCCTTCAAAGGACAGAGAATTGATATATTATTAGAAATATTACAGATCATAGGAAACAGGTAAGTTTCCCATGCTAGTTTTTTTTCCCCCCCATGCTAGTTTTTAAAGGTAGTATGACTCAAATAGCAAAACAAAAGTCATAGACCTATTTTTCTTTTGACTATAGATATGAAAATTTCCAGTAAACTATTTGCTAAAAGAACCAACAGTGTATTAATACAAGTATATCCTCAGTATGATTAAGGTAATTCCAGGAATGCAAGGATGGTTCAACATATAAACATTTAATAATGTAAGTTATTATACCAACAAATTGTAAGAGAAAAATCATTATATGACTAGATGCCTAAGAGGTATTTGCTAAAATTCAGCAGTAATTTCCAATAGCAGCTATAAATGGATAAAAAGGAAACACCACACATGTGACAAAACTTGTTTATCCCAAACCCAACAACAAATATATTTTATACAGCAGAAGACATTGACTTTAAAATAAAAAACTATATAGGAACAGGTGTCATTGCCTTTATTTTCAACATTATTTTGCAGGTTCTACATAATATAAGACAAGTAAACGAAGTAAGTCATAAAGTTGGGAAAAAATAAGGGCCACATTTATCATCATTTTCAGATGATATATATAAAATCACAATAACCTCATTAAATATAGTTACACTTAATAAGACAATTTGGCAAGGTAGTTGGATACAAGACAAAATTGATAGCTTTTTATCATGCTACTCACAATTATTTTGATGAAAATATATTTGACTTGCCCTGGCCAGGTAGCTCAGTTGGTTAGAGCATCATCCCAATATGCCAAGGTCGTGAGTTAAATCCCAGGTCAAGGCACATACAAGAATCCACCAATGAATGCATAACTAAGGGGAACAACAGATTGATCTTTCTCTCTATTTCTCTCTCTCTCCTTTCTCTAAAATAAGTTTTTAAAAAAGAAAATATTTTTGCCCTGGCTGGTTTGGCTCAGTGGTTTGAGCATCTGCCCACAGACTGAAGGGTCCCGGGTTCGATTCCCGGTCAAGGGCACGTGCCTCCATTGCAGGTTTCCTGTCCCCAGTCAGGGAGCATGCAGGAGGCAACGAATTCATGTGTCTCTCACGTTGATTTTTTTTTTCTCTCTCTTTCTCTCCCTCTTCTCCTTCCATTCCCCTCTCTCTAGAAATCAATGGAAAAATATCCTCAGGTGAGGATTAATAAAATAATAAAATAAAATAAATAAAATATAATGAAAATATTTTTGACTTACTATCTAGTTTTCAGGTTCCACGCACTTCAGTCCACAAAGTGAGCAGCACTTCTCTCCCAACTGGCAGTCGTGATCATCCGTGCACCTGGGTTTACCAATCTTTGGACAGGTCTGGGGCTTTTGTGGGCAGGAACCTGTTTTGACTTTATGGGATAAAACAAGACACTTGACCTTGAAATACTTGATCATAGTTTGAGACAAATTTGGGGACTCTTGGGAACCTTAAACAGAGTTTTCTTCTGATTAAGCCTTTTATCTTTCCCCCTAGAGTAATAATAGAATGAAGGAGGCAGAATATCCTCCATAATTTATCCTCAAATTATGGCTAATAATTTGAGGAGCATCAAAAAGTCTTGCCATCTCTGACTTACAAAATCTGAAAGTATTTTTACCTGTCCCTACAGAATTAAAGGATTTTGGTTATCTAATCCCAGAGTAGAGAGGTAGAAGGAGTATTAGAGGTCATCCAGGACTTCCTTGTTTTATAAACTGTAGAAACTGAAGACCATGTAAGGGGAAGTGGGTTGCCTAAACCTCAAAACACTGATAATTCCTGAGACAAGACCATACTATCTGAGCACTGTGTGGGGGAATGATCACTAGCCTTAGGGGCGGTGAGTTCACTTCTACCCCAACAGCATTTTGCTACCATTTTCCCTAGCACACCTTACAGCAGGGGTGGGAAACCTTTTTCTGCCAAGGGCCATTTGGATATTTATAACATTTGCAGGCCATACAAAATTATCAACTTAAAAATTAGCCTGCTATATATGGTCAAACGTTTAATTAACTCAGCCCTAATGTGATGGCTGCAACTGCTCTTTGGTGAGACCTTGGCAGGGCCAGGCCAAATGATTTCGTGGGCCATACACGGCCTGAGGGCTGGATGTTCCCCACCCCTGCCTTACAGAATGTGAATATGAATATTGTGTGCATGCTCTAAAGTTCTCTGCAGACTTATTAGTAACATACTGGTTATGATTTTTTTTTTGTATGAATAAATGCATCCTGACACCCTTTAGGCCATTAAAGAATGAGATTCAGAAAAATGAGTTTTCATGGGTGAAAATGGGGAGTAATATCATGCATGATTGGCTTTGAAGAATAACATAATAGTCTCCTGAGATCAGGAGGGCAACGTAAGTGCGTTGGTTAGGCATTAAAAGGGGAAAGGTTTCCAAGAGAACTCTAAGGTCAACCTAAGACACAGCATGGCACCCTCAGCCCAGTAGACTTTGGGAGGCATATCCCAGTCCTCACCTGTCCAGGCTTTAGTACAAACAAAGCCACACATGGAATCACAACATTTTTCCCCGTCAGGGCAATCATGGTCACTCAGACATGAAGACAAGCATTCCATACGACTCTTGGAAGGGAAGAGTGGACATTGTCCTCTATCGTCTAAAACAAGAGCAGATATGAGCTCCTTCAAACTCCACCCCATCCCCCCACACTTAAGGCAGCTTTTCTTTCTCTTCAAAACTAGTTTCTCTGTGACTTGGTTTATTCTGCCCACCTCTAGTGAGCTGTGGAGGAATGAAATGCCTCACATTTTATGGGATGTAGTAGAAAAAGAGTTAGGATTGGCGTTTGAAGCCCCAAGGTAAAGTCAAGTCCTGCCANGAAATGCCTCACATTTTATGGGATGTAGTAGAAAAAGAGTTAGGATTGGCATTTGAAGCCCCAAGGTAAAGTCCAAGTCCTGCCACTTAATAAGTGACTTCAGTTTCCTTCTCTATAAAATAGGAGTAATTATGTGAAATCTACCCAAGCCAATGTAAGCCATTTTAGGAGATTTAGTTTTACTTTGAATGAAGAGTGACAGGATCTAACCCACATTTTGAAAGAATCACTGTGGCTACTGTGTTGAAAATAGATTGTAAAAAGGGAAGGATAGAAGCATGGAGACCTTTGAGGAGGCTCTAGCCTAATCCACATAAGAAGACAGCACCTCCTATCAGGGTGGCAGCTGTGGAGGTGGGAAGAAGCGGTCAGATTCTGGATCTGTTTTCCTAACTTAATGGATGTTGACTGAGAAGAGACGTATCAAGGAGGATTTAGGAGTTTGGTGTGTGTTGTTCAACAAAGATGGGGAGATTTATGGCTATAACAGGTTTGAGATGGGAGAGTTCAGGTAAGACATTCAGTTTTAGACAAGTTAAACGTGAGGCATTTGTGAGATTTAGATGAAGGTGTAAAGTAAGTGGTTGGAGTTTGGGAGGCAGACTTGGGCTGGACAGACACCTTCGTGTATCATCAGCACATAGATGATATTTAAGTTAATTCTTCAGGATTATGCGCATGTCTCCTGTTGTCCTCATCTGATTGCAAACTCTACAGTGGCAAGAAGTGTTCCTTTTCACTCCCTCTTCTTCCTCAGGTTAGACTCAGACTGTAATATGTTTGGCTTTCAGAGCTATTGTCAAATTCTCTGTGCGCCCCAAACCTAAATTTCCCACAAACCAGCCCAAGCCCATTTCCCTGGCCTCTTCTTTCTGCTGGCTCCTGAGAGAGGGCCAAGGTCTTGTCCATAGTGGCATGATCTCTTACAACCTCCCAAGGGAAGCTTGTGGTCCTAGTTTCATCAGGTCAGAAAACAGGATTGCCTTGGCCATTCAGGCTCATGGAATTATAATTCCAGCTCTACCCTGACCCACTGTGAATCCTTGAACAACTAACTTTACCTTTCTGACTCACTTTCCTCATCTGTACAATGGTGGCGATGGGACACTTTTGGCCTGCCTCACAGAGTCTATGGTCAAAATGCTAATGCTTCCTTGTAAATCACACAGCGCTGCATTTTGAAGATCAGTGGTCACCATCTCAGCTGCTGCCATTTACTGAGCCCACACTACTGGACAGCCACCATGTCAGATCTCTGTGTCCTTGTTCACATATAATCTCACCAACAACTCAACAAGGTCTTTGCTATTATTCCAGCATTACGTGGGAGAAAACTGAAATTCAAAGAGGTGAAGAAATTTGCAGCAAATGGGAAAAGTAGGATTTTAATCCAGGTTATTTGGCTTCTAATCTCTGTAGGACCCTGTCTCCCAACATCACGGGCACTGGTTTTCATACTAAGGGATGAATCCACACCCTTTACCTTCACCCCATCCTACTCTTCACCTACTCCATGCTCTGTCCCTACATCATGGGATTCCAGGGCTGGCCTGCCCATGCTTCAGTCTGGAGTGACTTCTCAGGTGACACTCAACAGGTCAATGCAATGAGGAAACACCTGCTTCCAAGGGATAGCCTGGGCTCTCAGGTCCCATTGGCCAAAGTTTATTAACACTTTATGTGCACTATCTCATTTTTAGCACAAATCCACTAGGTAAATACTATTATTATCCCAATTTTATAGACAAGAAAACTGGAACACAAAAAGGTAGGCAACTGACCCAAGACTACCCAGCCAATGAAAGACAGAGCTAAGACTTGAACAGAGGCAGTTTAACCTCAAAGGCTGAGCCTATGACAATGACAGTATTCTGTTTCTAGTTAGACTAGGCCCTCAGGTTGCCAAGGATATGAATCTTACCAGTTAGTGAGCAAGCCTTCTTGCAGTCTTCCTTGCTGAGGAAATTGTTGGCATTCCCAGCGCAACCTCCATACTTAAAGGGTTTGCATAAATTAATTTTTAAGTCATAATACCAGCGGTTCCTCAGTTCCCCACAGTGTCCTGGATCTAAGGATGCCATGCAGGGTTCTGAGGGTAAGAAGCAAAGAGGGAAAAACATAAAAGGTAGCAAAAGAGGGAAGAGGTCAGGCCCTCAGCCTTTGTATAGTTCAAGGTGTTACCGTTCAAGTCATAGAAAGAGCCCTGGTCAATAAACATTCTAGTCCTAGTTCTACTATGAATGCTCTGTAGTGCACAGCGTCTCTGAGCATCATTTTTCCTTGCAAAGGATATCATGAAGAGTACATGAGGATGCTTTGGAGCTGATCTTTCCACTGCCCTGAGCTCTGGAAGGGCAACTATAGTTGCTGAGCTTTATTCAGCAACAATATCCAAGGTGCCTAAGACAGTGCCTGACATGTAGGAGCAATAAAACACTGAGAAAGAAAAAAAACAAAACAAAATAGCCCCTCATGACTAGAAATTTATCTGATGCTCACAGCTAAGTCATGTTGTTTCTCTGTTGGACATAAACAATCTCACAGGACATCCACATCAGTCAAGGTCACTCTGAGACCAGGATAAAGTGAGGCAAAAAAAAAAATCATTGTGAAACCCACAAAATACCAAACTCCTAAGAGTGATTTATGCATCTCTACCAATTACAACTCTATCCTATTCCAGCCTGCCCTCTCCATAGATAAGATTCACTGAGGTACTCATGGAATTGCCCCCACTTCTGACAGCATCCAATCTAGAACAAACCCCCACTTCCTTGGACCCTCCCTGAAATTACCCTATCAACGCCTCAATCCTACAGTAGATTCTTCCTAACAGCTTCTTACTGCGATGCCTCAGGTTGTCTATGATGAACATTCTCTGTGTCTTCAAGAGTAATAAACCCAACTTGGTCAATTATAGGCATGCTCCTGGTGGTCTTTGGCCAAAGGGCATTGACAATAGATATTTGTTGAATGAATCTATATAAAATGCACAATTCCCTGTTATTAGATGCTCAGTACTTTGAGTTACCAGAAAACTTCCTTGGAGGCCAAAGAGTTCAACAGCAACCCCGTCCTCTAAGCTGACTGAGGTTTATATTTACCACTGTGCAAACAATAATCTCTTGACACACAGTGAGCATGCACTTGAAAGTTGGGAGTTTCATTAGAGGAGCAAAACATGACCCCTGGCCTCTTTATCCTGACATCCCAGGGAATTGGTCAGCCAGTTCTGGACCATGCAAGGAGGAGGGCACCTCAAACAGCACCTCTGCTGTCAGCTGGAAGCCGCTACCTTGGTACGGATCCATGCACTTCTTCCCACAGCCGAAAGAGCAGCACTTCAGGAATTCAATACAGGAGAAATCGTCTTTGCACATGTTTGGGCCCTTAGTCTTACAGATGGCCCTCTCTCTGGGGCACACTCCCAATTTCTCTGCAAGAAAAACATGTCTGAATTCACAACGCTTGAGAGTTTCAGCTCTTCTCCCACGGCAAGGGCGAAGAGTGCAATTCTCTCAGTCATGTCCCCTGCCTTTAATCTTCAGTTCTTACTCCGCATGTATTTATGGATTGGGTCTGCCTCTCACCACTCTTAGTCCATTTAGATAGATCTGAATCAGAAATGTGAGCACAGGTAGAACTAAAGGAGAAAGGTCTTGGATTCCAGAGTAGGGGATTAAGTAGGGGCCAAGATCCTTGCCTTAAATTCAGGAGCTCCTCTGTCCTCTCGAAACTTAATATTTTAATGCCTAATTACTGTCTCTAGTATCTTAGTTGACAAGGGGAATTAATTAGTGGGGAGTAGTAGAAATATCATGGAAATAGGAATCAGGAGGCCTGATTTTGGCCCCTAATTCCCTGTGAGCTCAAGACCAACCTGAGTTCCACTATAGGATTCAGTTACATATCAGGGGGGGCCATTTAAACCTCTGTTTGGGTTTCAGTCATGGCAGCCTCTTACCCCACTTTAAGCTTGAACTCTCACTTAGAGTTCTTCCTCCCTGCCAGCCCTCTCAGCCACTTACCTGTTGTGTACAGTCTCCTCTGTGATACACACCCCAGGGGTTCCTCCGCAGTTACTGGGGACAGTCCCCCAAGCTCTGGTCTCAGCCCTCTCCTGTCATTACTTGACACATACTTCCCAGGTGACCACATCCATTCCTGTGACACTCCCAACTGTGATCCCCTATCTCCTCCAGACCTATCCTGTCTTCCAGGAGAAGACACTTATATCCAACCACCTGGGGAAACCCGCACTTGAGCATCTCATAAGCACCTCTGTTGCAAGATGTTTAAACAGAGCCAGTGTCTCCCGGTGCCCAAGCAGCACCTTCAGTCTGTTCCCATCTTGACATTTGGCATCAGTAGTTCCCATGGGATTCAGTCTTCCCTTTCCACCAGCCTAGCACCCTATCAGTCGCGGACCCGGGTCAATTCGGTCTCCTAACTCTCCAAACCCATCTCCCCTCCGTCTTTGCTACTTCCCCAAGCCAGCACCCCATCTCCTCCGACCTTCCTCAACTCTCCCAGCAGCCTCCTCGCTGGTCCTCTGCCCTCACACTCCTGTCTAGTGACTAATTCATTTGAAAACATTAAACTTGGAAAAGACACATATCAGGAAAAGTCAGGGAAACGATTTTCGGGGACCAGGGGAGGGAAAGCTCTGGAGGGCCGGGGCGGGCGAGCAGGGCTAGTTCCCGGAGCCGCGGTGGGAGCCGCCTGGTCCAACACAAGTCCTCGCCTCACGTCTGACCCTCGGTCCGCAAGGCCTGCGGGGACGCGGCTGCAGCTTTTCTGAACCCACGTTTGACTTTCTTGTGTAGCGATGCAAACGTCTGCTCCAGTGAGAGAGAGAGAAGCAGCAGGAGAGCGACGTTCTTGCTGCGGAAGGTGGAGCTGTGGCAAGGAAGGGGCCTGTGGGGACGAGAAAGGGCAGGGGTGAGGCCCAGCCCGAGAGAGACAAAGCACAGGCCCATGACCCCGAGAAACAAGCCGCCAATTCCCTCATTCGCACAGGAGAAAGCGCAGACGCACAATGCGCCAGGGGCTTGTCTCTGGTCACATGGCAAGTGGGACAGGACCTTCAGTCCCAGGACCCTCCCGGTGGTCCCACACCCTTCCCAGACCCTCGCCCATTGTCTCGCTCTGGGTGAGAGGCCCCACCTGAATGATCACAGCTATTCATCTGGAGGGCGATCCCAGGCACTAGTGAGCACCTTTCTTTGCACCACTCATGACAAGAAACTGAGATTTTCAGGAGAGACTGGGCATATGGCACTGGGGTCTTGGTCAGTCCCCAGGCTGACGCTCTAACCACTGAACAAACCGGCCAGGGTGAGGATATTTTTTCCATTGATTTTTACAGAGACTGGAAGGGAAGGAAGAGGTGGAGAGAGAGAGAGAGAAACATCGATGTGAGAGAGACACATCGGTTGGTTGCCTCCCACATGCACCCTGACTGGGGCTGGGGATCAAACGAGCAACCGAGGTACCTGCCTTTGACCAAGAATCGGTCCTCAGGCTGACGCTCTAACCGCTGAGCAAAACCAGCCAGGGCTCAATGTAATTATTTATATAGTCATTATTATTATTATTTAAATAACAAATGGAACCAAAAATAAATCCATAAGAAAAAATTTTATTCCTAGAGTCTCATGGTCATGGTAGATGCAAACATTAAATTGTAATTTATATGCATGTTTTTATTGCATAGAAGTATGAAAAATCATGAGTAAAAGAGCTTTGAGCATAAGATTATATTCCATTAGATTAAAGGTCTAAGTAAGAGGAATGGAAATAGGAGTTCAAGGAGAAGAAAAAGGGTTTTAAAATTTCCAACTATTAAGGTGGTTTATATATATATATATATATATATGTATATATATTTTTTTATCAGTACAGAGGTCTTTTAGTTTTTCACACTCATCGTGCCGGGAATTGATAGGGAACAGGCTCCCACAGCTCAGGCCCCTTCCCGCCGGTTCTCAGTGAGCTGCCTGGGCGGGGCAGGCCAGCGCTTCAGCTGAACCCAGGAACCTTCCTCTGCGGTTCCTTCTTTCCCTGATCACCTTCCTTCACGGCTCAGGGCGCCGTCTGGGCCCTTAGAGCGCCGACGTGCTCGCCACGCGCATTCACTGCCTTGGCAAGAATCTTGCCCTTCGCTTGCGTGTTCACAGCACTGCCCACTGCGTGCTGGGTGACCCTTAGGCTCCTCCAGTTTTGCCGTGGGAACATCTGTGGGGCATTCCTTTTTGAACAGTGCCCATTCCTTTGATGTCCACAATACCACCTTTCTTACAGATTTGTATATATGTGGCCAAAGGAATAATTCTATGTTTTCTAAAAGGCCTAGAGAACATACAGCAGGTGTCTCTCCTCTTTCCCTTTGTGTTGGTTATTTTGGTAAATTACTGGAAGGTGGCAGTTCCAGCAGAAAAAAAAAGTCATATATTTTTTAAATGGATGATTGTAGGTATCAAATTAGTGTGGTATTTTGACCCCAATTAATTTGTCTGTCAAAGTTACATAGCAGTTTTTTAAAATATTAATATCTATAACATGCTAGCACAGTGCATTTGAGATTCTTTTATGTTGTGTATTGTTTGTACCTCTTTACTGCTGAGTTATCGTCATTGTATCATGTACCAGATGTTGCTTACCCATTCATGAGTTAATGGACATTTGGGTTGTTTCCAGGGTTTGGCAATTATGAATAAATACACTATAAACATTTGTATACAGGTTTTTATAGGAACATAATGATCATTTCTCCAGGCAGTGGGGTTGCTGGGTTATATGCTGAGCATATGTAAGAAACTGCCAACCTGTTTCCTAAAGAGGCCATGCATTTTGCTTTTCCACTAGTACCAGCTGGGAGTTCCACTTGCTCCCATACTTGCCAGCACTTAGTATTGGAAATGTTTTTACTTTAGTCATTCTAATAGATCAAGATATTTTAAGAAATTAAAGTAATTAGCTTAAATTTCTGGGACCCTAACCATCTAAATCACTTAGAATTATGGTGAGGAGATGTTTCCTGTTTCCCAACTTTCCTTAGGACATTGTTTCAAACCCAGTAGGCTCCTTAGTTCCTGAGCCTGGTTGGCCAGGAGTTTCTCCAGATCCCCATCATTGAACCTACCTCTTTCCCCATGTGGTAGAGGTTGCTCTTTGCAGTAAACCGAGGAACATTTTGAAACAGAAAGATCTACAGATGTCCAGGAGCTGGGGAAACAGTGTGAATTTCCAGGTTACAACCTTTGAAAACTGCAGGTAAGGCCCCATCATGACCCCGTCCTGCTCCCCTACTGGGAACACACCCTGCCTCAGGATCCTGTTTTGTTTCCATGCATGAAAGCTCCTTGTTCAGATCTTCCTACCCAGTGTCATGGTGTGTTCTGCTGCATGGCTACTCAACCACGAATGCGCCTTTAGCCTCAGTCCCTGGGCAGGAGATGTTTAGGAGGATAATTAGTTCTGTAGGTCTCCTTAATACACTTTGCCTTAAACTCAGAGTAAGTAGCTGCCTCCTCCAAAGACATGACCTTCTAAATAACTCCTACTCAGGGATCTGCATTCTGATACTGAGGAAAGGCTGTCTCTAAGTGTGGAGGGCAGAGCGCGATGTATCTCCATTGTGTGTTATTTAAATGTCTTAAATATTTCTAACTTTCTTCTCTCTTTGACTTAACAATAATTGAGAAAAGTATGTTGAAGGCTCTTCACATGGCCATGGATTTCTCAGTTTATGCCTGTAATTCCATTGGTATTTGTTTACTATATCCTGATTCTATTGATTTAGGTAAATATGAATGAATTCCTGGTGAGCTGAATTTTTTAGCATTATATAGTGGCCAAATATAACAAGTACTGGGACAGCTAGCAACAAAGAAAGGAGGGGGTATCTTCTTACAGGAGGCACTGCTCTGTAAGATTTTTTAAAAGCACAGAATTGAGGCTTTTTCTCTAGGAGGGAGGGGCAAGAAGCGAAAGGTGTCTGGTCCCCAGCTTTATAGTGTGTTTCCTGATAATATACATAGAAAACCCTAAAGTTCCCCCAAAAAACTGGTAGAACAAAGCTTTAATCTTGGGAGATTGTATCCCTAAGGGTACAAGAGAAATCTCAATGCAGCTGGGGAAGGGCAGAAATACTAGCCAGATTCAAAACTTTGTCCTGGGAGTCGGGAGAAGGGCAGGATCACTAAGAAGACAACATCCCTGAGACCCAGGGACACAGTGTCTGCCTAAGACCCAGACTTAACGGAACAACAGAGAATGGACCCCCAACCACCCCCCCCC